AGGAAACCCCCAAAATCTCAGAGTTTGAATGCACCAGATACCGGAGTATCCCCAATTCAGCAATCTGCGTCACCAAGCAAGAGATTGTAACGTTGGAAATATCTCAAGACTGCAGCTCTAAACACAATTTACGAAGCAGAAGCGACACAGCGCGTGGTTTGTCATCAGCTAAGGCTTTGCTGAGACCATTTACCCGACCACTGCTGTTAGATGTACACTTCTGTATGACCTAACACGAGAACAAATCCGGTTTTAGGAGGGACATAAAAGAAGGAACACTGAAGACAAGTCATTTGCGCTTATCTGCAATTATTACAGTTATGGAAGACAGCTGATGAGAAGATCTTCCCCTGAACCCTGTGCACCTGTATCTCTGCGCAGGTTTGCTTCGCTCTGAGGCAGCGCAGCCAGCCCACCTCAAGAAACACAAGTTCTGTTCCCTTCCCTGCCACCCTGTGATTTTAGGTTAGCAAGTCGGCTTCACTGGGGCAAAGCAGATTTATCATAGGTTCACTAATACCGCACAATACGCTGCCACGAGTTGAAAATTAACGTTATGTTTATCCACTGAAAAATTAATGTTACGTTTATCCACTGAAAAACCCGGCTACAAGTTTAAACATATTAGCCAGTAAGTAAAAGAGTAATGGAGTCGAAAGGTGAGGAAGGGAAATAAAAGGTCAGGAACCAGCGAACAACACAAACCTCAGCATAGAGAGTAAAGTAACCCTCTGTGCCATCTTGTCCCGTGATCACTCCGTGGCGGCGATTAATTCCCGCTATGACTGCTCCCTGGAATTCAGTGGGTGCCATCACCTCCACTGCCATAATGGGTTCAAGTATTCGCACAGTGGCGTTTTCCATAGCTGGAGAAAAAAAAAAACTTAACTGAATAATCAAACATCAAAGAACAAGCCTGGCATAATTCAAGACAGCCCTACACATAGCAAAGAAGTGTTTTATGGTTAATGCCAAGTGTTTCCTACATCAGTAGGGGAAAACAATAATCGAGTATGTGGAATTCCAGCTCCCCTGCCTTTTATTCCCGAGACCATAATGCAGGGAGGCACACAGTTTGATAGAATGTTCCTTCCGTACCTGCATAAGGACGGAGCTGTTGGTATTTCTTTACTCTAGGAAAATAGAATTCCCTTCACGCAACTAAAGGAATTATTGTGCCTCCCTCAAAATTTCTATAAACTCTAACATGTATTCTGCTCTACACAACCAGCCAAACTTTAAAAGTATGTATGGATACACCAGGCAACAAACGACCCTATAGAAAGGAGGTTGTTAAATTTAGCTCCAACAATAAAGAAGCCAGCAGGACTACGCGTTCAAGCGACTCGCTTTATACCTTGCTTAAGGGCTCCTTCTCCTGCCCTGATGAAAGAGATTTCATTGGAGTCCACCATGTGATGCGCACCATCATCTAGGATGAACCGGACTCCAGATATCTTGTGCCCTGACACTAGACCTTTTTCACAGGCTTCTCGGAATCCCTGTCAAGTAACATCTCTAAGTTAGCCATTTGTAGACCAAAATGAAGCTTAAAAAGAAGTAACATTAACATCAGCCTAGACATTAAACTTAAAAACCAAAACAACACTAACCAGAAAACCCAAAACCTTTCACAGTTTTTAACAGCAATCCTGTATCTACCCAAAGGACCTTCCTGCTTGGTAAGATACTGGAAGAAAGTAACAGCGGGGAAAACTTTTCATTCCCAAGGGTTTGAAAACTTCGTACTGTCATTCTCTGGCACCTCAGTTTGATACCGGTATTTTTGAAAAACAGAAGTCACATAACAAGCTAAGGACAAGAAAAAGAAATGTACTTGGGGTTTTCCCTTGTTAAGGGATTGGATGATCAAAAACCAAAAGAATGCTCAACATGGAAAGAACTATTCAAACCACATGACTGAAGAACAAGATTCTTTTAAGACTGCATGCTTTTTCCAGGATTTGGCAAAAAAACTTTAAGTGTTGCATCATGGAATAACAAAGGAATGATTTTAGGCTGATCCATTATTACAGGAATTCAAAGATCATGGTAGGTACTACTTAAAGTACTACGTGATAAATTATACAGTTACAGAGAGACAGACACAGAGGAATCCTGCAGAAGAGATTAAAAAGAATGAATATTTGGTAATTCATGCAGGAAATCTAGCTTAATTACAGTTTCCTGCATAACTGGCCTCAGAGAAGTCACAAAAAAGTTACGTATTTCAGGGTTAGAGATGAGAATCGCGTGGCCACAGTCAAAAGCAGAAGAGGGCCATTAAAAAAGCAGATTTAACAGATGGAGGCTTGTTTGACAGTAAGAAAGGGAAGCCTACCTTGTGCACTGCTATGGAAATAGAGCAAGCACACACTACCAAAGAAAACAAACAATAGCTTCTAAATTAAGTGGAAAACCTAGGAATGTAAGGTATTATTAAGCAAAGCCACACAAATAACAATGCCGCTTCCACTGAAGTAATGGGAAAAGCCTCCTTGCCCGGGGCAAGACGGTCACAGTAAACGTGGTAGGTATAGCAGGAAAACAAGAATCAGGCGTTCTTGTATCACGCGCGCACACACACAAAATGCTTTGTACCTTTTCAACAGCGGGCACGAATTGTTTTGGGATATTTGTGCCAACGGTTCTGTCTTCAAACTCTAATTTTGTGTAGTCCTCCGGATCCAGGGGCTCAAGAACACCTATAACTTTGCCGTACTGGCCTGCTCCGCCCGTCTGTTTCTTGTGCGTATATTCAAACCTAAGAACAAATCCGCCCAGAAAACCATATTACTCATTACACAAACCATGCTCTAACTACACTTTTCCAAGGAGTAACTTCCCATTCTTCATTTTGCTTTATTCCACTTGGTTATGTGTAAACACAAAGGCCAAATATCATAGCAGCGGCTGAAACAACAGCAGAGGATCTTTAATGCCCCAAGAAGGAGCACCACTGTTCTTCAGCTTGCAAACAGGAAGCCTGATGAGGCTGTGATGATTTTTATCTCTCAAGAGACAACTGCAAACCCAAGGTGCTCCTGCGTGCGGTAAGCCACGCTATTACAGCCTGCTTACCTTTAGGCTTGTGCTTTTTGTTGGCTGAATAACGAGATTTTTCTGTTGTTTCTGCACACGCCTACAGTTTCCAGTGCAAAGTACTTCGGCGTTAAGCGCAGAGGGAACAAGGGGATGATTAAGGGGAACACCTGAGCTGGCCGGGGCTCCGGGCTGGGGAGGGGGGCCCCGGGGCGCCTCGGCGGCGGGACAGCCCC